CCTGCAGTTCAATGGCTGTGTGTGTTTGCTTCTGTGTCCACGCATTCTGGTTTAAAACCTTGTTCTTTACCCCGATGCTTGAATGCAATGAGAGTCGTAGTTCTTCCCGTTTTGAGAATAAGCTTTTAGGAGACAATCTACACTAGAATTCACCGGCAACATTTCATCTTTAATCCATCGTGGCTAGCTCGCTTGTCCGTGTCGGAAACGACTATCTAATTAGTTGAATTGACTACAAAGTGATACGAAGAGTAGCTCACTTTAGACAATATAAAGTGATAGACATTGAGAGAGATGATGATATGAATATGTTTATAAATTCAGGCAAGGACACATGGGAGATCGTCAGACGGGCAAATGGATATATAAATATGCAGAAAGTTATATGGACTATCAGTCAGTCTGTCAAATGTTATGGGCTAAGCATACCTACAGATATCTTTGACTATGATTTCGTATATTCCTACTGATTGACAGACAGATGAACAAGCTGGTAAGCACTGAGACTTCATTTTTCCTCATTGTGAGAGCGTTCTCTAGTTATTAATATCCATTGACTATTGACGCAAATGATGTATGCACATCTTTCCAATCGTTGGGAGTAATTTTATCTTTGCTTATAGATCCTACTTGATATGGCTACCATACTAGCAAGCTCTTTGTTAAAGTCTATTCTATTATTTTTTGATATTAAGGTAGTCATTTTGTTATGGGTCTCTAAAAAGTAACTCTTTTCTTCTGTAAATTGCAAAATTATGATGACTATACCACACTATCCTCAATCCGCATTTCTCATGGCTTTATCAACTGCACATTATTATCTCCGAGTAATTATTCTGTTTGCTTTATTCCTTCTTCGACATAGAATCTGATTGCTTCAGGATACTATTTGCACTAGATTAGGGCAAATTATTTCTGACTGGTGGTTTGAATGCGCAATCTTATCATGATTGCTTGCAAGAGACTTGTTTCTCCTATTCGTCTCTACTCTTAATGCAAATTCGTCTTGAACTAATTCATGCGATTTACCTTTTCACCGTCACCTATCCTCACGACATGGATCCCTCCCTTTCAGACGCGTCCTCCTCTTGCCGCCTGTTGTTCTGGATATGGATTTGGCTGGGCTCAACTCGACTCCGGCGCCAGCTCGCTTCTCCTTCACAGCACTTCCAGCGGTGGCCTTGGACTCGTTTCTTCCCTAACCCCATCACATCTGCCAACTTCCAGTTTATTAACCCCAAGACTGGAGCATTTACGCACTTCATTCATTAACTCTTCATACCCCAGTGTACCTGACGCCACCTTAAACGTGCGCCAGCGCGACGGACTGAATGTATCTATTCGAGAGGCTGCTGGAAAAACACGAAAGTTTGCTTTGCAGGAGCAGATCGCTCCAAAAGCGTCCAATGCTGAAACTTGTCTTAACACCAACAATGGAGCTGGAAGAGATTCTTCATGTCTTGAATCTGGTGGCATTCCCCTCCCAGTGAGTTACATCAATTTTTAACAATTATTTTATTCAACATTTGTTTACATTGAAATTACTTTGTTTTCCTTTGCCACACTTACCTTGTATTATCTACTGCGCTCTTTTTGTTATATATCTGATGCTTTTTATTTGCTTTAAATCTTGGTTGCCGATTGTTGTTTTTTTTAAATAAAAATTCTTTATAATTTCGATGATTTCCATTTTTCTTAGATTTTGACTAAAAATCATAGATTAATTATTTGTTTAATCCAATGCTTGGCTGGCCTAATTTGGCCACATTTTACGACGAATTTATATATTGATGTCTTTGCCATTTACATGGATCCTTTCGGTGAACTTTCCACTCAATTGGAGGAAAGTATTTGTCAATTATATTGACTTTTATTAATGATTCTCTTATATTCACTTTTTTTGAGCTGCCTCAGTCTAATTTGTCCTCGTTATGCAAACTCAGAAATTCACTACTCGACGAAAGCCATTCGATAGCATTGCTCAGCTTGTTTATTGCCCACGT